CTCTCTCTCTCTCTCTCTCTCTCTCTCTCTCTCTCTCTCTCTCTCTCTCTCTCTCTCTCTCTCTCTCTCTCTCTCTCTCTCTCTCTCTCTCTCTCTCTCTCTCTCTCTCTTGTATCTTGTATCTTGTAATAAAGTATACGGTATTACAGAGAGAAGTCAACGAGCGAAGATGAGGTGCTTCTCGTGTATGTATATGAGGAGAAATTATGTTGGCAAAAGAATATAACGTTGTAGCAAAAAAAGAAAAAGAAAAAAAAAAGGAAAAGAAAATTTGGTTGAGATCGTATCGTTAATAATAATTGAACAACTGAATTGCATTCGATAAAATGTTCGGCGAAATTAAAATCGGTGGATTTGGCTGCAAAAAATATATAAGACAGGGGAAAAAAAAAAAATATCACATGAAAAATCTGAAAAAAGACACAGGAAATGTAAGACACATTACGAGTACGATCACGAAATCATTTATTCGAGCATTACTAGAGACTCGATTTCTCATGCTTCGTAACACGGTAATTCCTTTTCATCGTAAACGTGAAAATATCGTGTACAATTGATTACGTGTGTTGGTGGTTGATGTGTAGTGTTCGGTAATCGAATACGTCTTGATCAAAATTTATATATTTTATTCCTTTGATTTGATCGCGAATCTAATGCGATTTTGAAAAAGAACTTTCCAACGCGAATTAATCGCCAACGATTTGAAAATGAAAAAACAAAAACTGAAAAAAAAGAAAAATGTAGCGGCAAGCAACGCACGGCAAATATAAATTATATCTCGTTCGCTTTTTGCGTAATCTTTCTGGGACGTAGTGCATCCATGCGTTACATCGCTGCGGCGCATCGATTACGCAACTATAGAGCACTAGAAGCGCTGTGTGTAGACAGAACGCAGTGAGAAAAGAAGCGGCCTTCGCTGTACGTCTCAACCATTTCCACGGTTTTCTCGGTGCCAACGTGGGAAAGGAGTATTGTTACACCAACGACACGATATTCGTTAACGATATTCTTTGCACGAATTTTCTCGCGATCATACGCGTATATACTTTCGCCGCCGTTTGTAACCGGCGTCAAACAATTTCTACATGTATATTACGTGCTTCGATCGATATAATATCAACGTTACATATGAAAAGGAAGAGTTTTTTTTCCTAACGAATATAATAACGAATAATATTCGAACGACGATCGAATAAATTATATATATATATATATACATGTACTTTGAATTGCACGTATATCTAATGGAATTTAGAATCATTCTCCAAGTAGGTAACGAAAATAAAATCTCCACTAACCTTCGCCAGGTTTCCGATCGAGTCCACCAGCGGACGTGGCTCGTTCTTGCTGCCATCGAGCTCTCTTTCAGAAGACCTCCTGGTCAACGGTTGAGCGGCGGAGAACATCATGACATTGGTGGTGGACGTTGCTCGACGGGTACCCCAGAAAGTGGAACCACCGGTGTCGGCCGGCTCCAACATCCTCGGTGTCGAGCTTCCAAAAGCGAACACGATGTGCGACCTCTCGTTCTTCTTCTTCGCCTCGATACGCGCCTCTCTCTCTTGATTCTTCCGGAGGATCGCCTCCCTTCGTTCCCTTTCCGCCTCGCATATCAACCGTTTCCTCTCCTCTACTTGGTTTCGTCTGCGAATAGATCGGAGAGTGAATTTTTAAAACAGGATTTTTAAAACCACCTCTATCTCCTTCTCTTTCTGCCTTCTCGAGGAACACGAGTACCACGAGGCACGTACACGAACACGAGTGTATATACGTCTTCTCGTCTACGTAATAGGCTGTGCGATTCTTTTTTTAGACGGGGAGGAAAGCGATTTTGCCGCGGGTGAACTTTATGCAGGTGTCGCGGTAATTTCCCAGGCTTCTCTGCGGTGGCGAAACAGTTTAGCCCGGCATCATATTAACCAGGTCAACTTATAACCTCGTAAAGAGCACGTAATCTCGTAAAGAGCGTTTAAACACATTAATACGGTGCCCGGTGTCGTTTTAAATTCGCGTGTCATAGATTGAAGAGAGAGAGAGGGGGGAGGGGAAAAAAAACTAAAACTCAAGGTGAAGTTATCGTTCTCTCTCTTATTAAATAACCCAATTTCAAATGAAATTCAACAACTTTCTCTCTCTCTTTCTCTCTCTCTCTCATTTTCTCTCAATCTAATTAATCTCGCTCGTCTTTTTCTCGAATTCGAGCGTGAGAGTTCGCTCTACTCGTCTACCTCCTTTACCTCGTTTTCGCGAATTTTCACGTATCGTTGAACGTGTTATTCGATTATATCACACAGCAGTGAGCGAATAACGGGGGAGAGGAGAAAAAAAGGAGAGAGAGAGAGAGAGAGAGAGAGAGAGAGAGAAA